AAAGCAGAAGAAGAAACAGCATAATAAATAAATACCGAAAGCGACGTAAACCGCTTTGTAGACATATATGAACGAATTTGCATGTCACTCAGATTCTTCCCCGGTACCAGAGACCAACGGGTCACTGCAGCGTTTACAATGCCGCTGGCAAAGTGAATATTTTGTTTAAACAGAAAAAATGTAAAAGTTTAAAAATTACTTCGACCAAGTATTCAGTAACACGCATTTATACATACATCGCACGTTTATTTGTTTAGGAATACTCCTCTGTCAATAACGCTCTTACATTCGATTTTCCCCATTGTTTGTCTAGAGTTGTCTGCTTTACAAATCCACAAATCCTAACCGATCCAATTGGCAGACGATAATCGTTTGATAGATTTTATTGCGCCCCTCGCTGCTCACCCGAACCACCGCATGCCCTCCATATGGCGCTTTGCCGAGCTCCACTTCGCCGGTTTGGTTCTTTGAAAGCATTATTTCTGTATTGCAAGTAATTTATTCATATTCATTGGCAAATTTGCATAAGTTGGTACGTCTTACGAACTTAAACTGTTTCACCCCAGTTTTAAAAGTGCAGAAGGCGCGGCTAGTGGGCGGCATATGCTTAAAAACATTGATATTACCAATGAACTTTAACGATCCCAAAGAAGGGTTAGATGTTCCCTTCCGTGCTATGCACTTGCAACTTTGTGGTAAGTATACGACTATAATCGTTTGACTATGTATAATTTGTTGTTTAACGATTTCTCTGCTGCGTTTTGCGATTTCCATCGTTTCCTTGGCAGTGCGGCGTCTGCATACTTGGTTTTTGGGGCGTGTGGCAGCAATGTATTGCTATTTGCTTTTGATAGCAACCACGTGCACACATATGCTGGCAGTCACAGTTTGGTCAAAGCTCATGCACACCCACATATTTTTTTATATACTCTACCAACATGCATGCTATAAATACCGAAATGAGGCCGCATTTTCCAACCGTTAAGCGAATTTGTGGCATAGCTCTTAAATTATAATACTCTTTTGTTGTGCCACAGTTACAAAACGAGTGTAAAATCACTATTTTTCGAATAAACGAAAATGTGCGTTTATATAATTATACAAACTACCTAAGCTAAAACTTTCAAGCTTTACAGGTTAAATAATCGTTACCTACTTTCTTTATATCAATGACAAATGCCAGAATACTCGAATTTATTAAATTTCTTGGAATGTTGGTTGCACTAATTTGTTTGTTTTACTTAATTATTTTTTAGTCACAACAACAGCGAACAGTCTAACTCATTAAATTCGCAAATTTAGGTATGGCTAGGTCATTGAAATACATAAGTTGAGATTTTTCGAAGGCTTATACCGTTTCTACTTACGCTGTTCCTAAAGTATATGGCAGTGTTCATATTCCTAACGAGAGATTAAACTTACTATTGTATTAATTTGCTTAAAAAAATTAGTCAAGAACTAATTTTATCCCCTTCACAGCTCCATTTTTGCTCCGGAAATTTTGAGGAGGGAGTAGGGTTTTTAATTTTTTTTTTTTTTTGTCTTAAATGAATGAATAATATCTCAAAAATGTTGTATCTATACTAATGTGGTGACGAGTTGGATCTCCGTTGTCATCTTGCGTTCGAGCACTGGGCCTATAGTCCAATTTGTCGACGATCAGCTCTTGTGCCACAGCGAGATCCTTCTGCCCTCGAGTAGAACGTACGAGATTTACTGAACTGCTAGCCCTGGCAAAGTTCATCTTGCCTCAGTCGTAGGAGTTCTCACTACACATTGTTTAATAGGCATTCATGTTGTAAGGCTAAAAATCCATTCGAACACAAATTGTCAAAGTTGTATGGCAGAAGGTGAGGTGGAAACAACCGTAAACTTTTTCCTTCATTGTTCAGCCTATGGAAGACAGAGACTGAAACATCTCGACAGTCAAACCTTCATCGAACCAGGAGGCATAGCCAAAATTGACATTGGCCGCGTCAACAAATTTGTGATCGGCTCAAACCACTTTGTCGATTTATGGGGGTATTAATGATCAATTTTATAGGAGCTCTAGGTACCACAATGGACCAGCGTCATAACCTCTCTTCAGTTAGATCCTCTATCTTTTATTTTAAATGTGTACATGTTAAAGCTGACTAACCCGAACACCCACTCACTACAATAGATAGAACATTGACCTTTCTTTCGTTATTCTACTAATTGAATAATGTTTTTAGAGCACCAAAGTATAAATTTAAAATTTTAGCAAATCTTGACCTGACCAAACCCCTCAAAACTTTATTTATGTTCTATATAATGACGTAAAGTGTGATAGCGTTTAAACTTTCCTGCCTCGTAGAGCATAAATCGAGTACTCAGATGACTTTAACAGCAATTAAAATTAACTATCTCTGCAGATGTAGAAATTAACAGTACTTTTAAAACTAGGCAGTTGCTCAATCCTGGCCCATTATCCAGAATTTCTCTTCAGTCTAAATTTAGAGCATACTACATAGTAAATGACCCCGAAAAGTTGTGTTCTCTCTTGACAATTGCTTAAAAACGACACACAAAGTGTCTCATATTTCAACAAAGTCTTTAAATAAACTAAAAGGAAATAACGGCACACTGGAAAAAAATACGTCGCTCATCAAATTTGCACCCACAATATCTACACAGAATGCGGAAAAAATCAACAGGCGAACCTCAAACAAATGCCTTCGGCAAATATTTACACACAAAGTAAACAATTAAACAACCAACAAACCATACAAATATTTTTAGGTATTTTCGTATATGGAACTGTTGCTATCAAAACAGTCAGCTGTTCTGCTTCTCAGTCCTCGAAACGGCAGCAACATTTCAGAGACCTTAGAGGAAGTTTTGCTTTCCGCGTAGAAAATGAAAACCTTTAAAGGGAAATGTTTACAGATGGCATGTGCCGCCAGGGCAATTTAAGCCGAGGTAATTTGGAAAATATTACCAACTAATAGGTGCAGCAATTAGCAAGCAGCGCCATGCAAATATAGGTTAATGAGCAGAAACGGGAGCAGTTAGGAAAAGGACTTGAGACCAAGATGTAAGTGCAGGCGTACGACGAAAATATGTACTGCACTAAATTTCGCTTAATTGCCGCTGTTCAAGCTATATATTTATTTATGCGAAAGCGCTATATACGGAAACATGTACATCCTCACTCATGCGTACATAACTTATGGAAATGGTAAACACCACATACACATAAACATTCATTTACACGCTTGCAAGCACATCACATGCTTGTATCGAAAGTGGACCTAGAAACGTTTCGCTTAAGATGCCCTGCGGATTTCACACTCAAGTATATTGCTTCGAACACTTACGCACTGCACAAAGCATTTATGCAAAGGGCGGAATTATGTGTCGCATTCAGAGCAAACGCGGCTTTATATATCGATGCTGCTGAAGCAACGACAGCCCATATAATTTCATTGGCCTTCCCGCCCGACCAGCATTTACGTGTTTTGTTAGGACGAAAACTCCAAGCGGCATTGCCAACTAACACTAAAGTCATGCACACCAGCAAAACGCAAATGTGGTGCACTCGGGCGTATACGCAACATTTGAGTACCTGCAATAAAGACGACTCATATTCACAGGCATACACGGTGGTTTATGAAGTGGTATATTTTTGAAATATTGAAGAATTTATTGAAAAAAAATTTCGGTATTTTGTTGGTTTCATTGATAACGACAAGTAACGACGTGTTGCTTCATGTCTAGCCTTAAATCGGTGATTAATAATTAGAATAGCATCGTTCATCTATGGCCCTGCACAAAAACTAATAACGGTGTCAAATCGAAGCCAAAGTACAATACATTAAGGTGACAGTTGCTAATACGAATTAATTCAGCACAAAATATATTAATTTTGGCAATGGTATGTGAGAAATGAAAATCCGTCCTACAACAAATAAAGCTCTCATTCCAAATACACAGTTTCGCTATTACATTTTCCGCACAGAAATAGGTTATCCCTAAATCCAAACTTTAACTCTCAATTTATGGAATTTTTCAATAAATCGATATGTTCATTAAACACATGTGCAATGTTGGGCTACTCAACTTACAAAATTTTTAAATTACACATTATACTCAGTTTGGAAGCTGTAGTCGATACCTTGATACCATAATATGCCTATTCGATTATAGCCTGACAATTTGAAACCCATGTTGTTAACAAACTCACAAATAGGAAGCCTGGAAAAAGACTAACCCCATCAAGATAACGACCTTTACCATGAACAATAGGACCACTTTAAACGTTCCATTGCTCCTCGCCGAAAAAATGTAATATTTTATTCTAAGTACATCTTAAAAATCTTAATCTTAAACTATATCCTTACAAATACTACCGAGCATAGATTAGCATAGATGAGTATTTAGTCTCGCAAACATTGAGTACTAAAATGCTCTTTTTATCATCACCTAGTTGATCTCACTCAGGCTTATCAATTGCCAGTTTTATTAGCACCATTTAGGTTTCACTGTTATTTAGTCAGTAGTATATAAATCAACAACTTCTATTTACTGGGGGTAAGCGGCTAATAAATATAAAAAGAGTAAAAATATATTCCTAGTTTTTCATTCCTCTCTCAAAAGTACTAGCTTTTATTTGATTCTTTCACTTTATAGCCTTTCACCTGAAGTCGCTTTACAATTCATTTTCTAATGTAAATTTTTTTTTTTAAGATGCATCAAAATATATTCTGCAATAGTAACTGCAACCTCATTTGTTCTTTTTTTGTTCCCTTGGTATAGTTATGTAGTTATGGAAGAAGCAATTTAATTTTAAAATAATTCTCAAAAATAATTGCTAAAATCTCTAAATCAGCAAGCTAGACACTAAAATATCTTATGTTAAATTTTTCATTTTTTCTTTCATCATGGCCACGATAACAAAGGTTTATTGGGAAATGTATTTTGTGTCAGAAGCTGAAGAAGACTTTTCTCTGCAATGAAAATATCAAAAATGTACTTACTTTCGTTGCAAAACAAATTAAATATTGCGTAGTGATTTGCTTAGTATGCCTGAAAGATAAGAGGTTAAGAGCATTTGTTAATATGAAGTAAAACAATTAAAATTGCTTTATCTTAAAAAGTTCAGGTACACTGTATAGAAATCTATAATTCGTGAAAACTATTCTCACGTTAGCAGAGTGCCCGCATATACAGTAGACAGCATTCAAAAATACTAAAAAAATATTTTGAAATGCCGCAACCAAGCGTTACTTTTTAAAAAAACGTACAAATTCCAGTATTTAGAGGATTAAGAAAGTGATTATCAAGTCTTTTTCATTCATTAATTTTATTATTCTTCAGCTCAAAAAGTGATAAACAGGCCATATCTCACACAAAATTTGGGAGCAACCCATGCAGTGAACAAAAATATGTAAAAATTCAGTGCACATACATACAACACATATCAAGGCATACTCAAGCTGCACACACAACATAACTGAAAAAGTAAAAAGGACAAAGCAAGTTGGTGCTGGCATTTAAAGAATGCTTCAGTTTAATTAGATACAAAGCCAAATAATCACAGGTGCTTACGCCAATACTACACACGTACACATGCGTGCATGAATGAGCCTTACGCATCATTATCTTCATAAGCGTGCGCTGAACATTATGAGAGGAAATGAAACAATAGAGCTTAAATAAGGTGAAGGTGAAATCGGCAACCGAATTCGTCGAGCACGGAGACACTTATACACCTGCAGATAATGAGAAATTCCCGACGATAATATTCTCTACCTTCTATCTCTCATGTTTGCCTCTACAATGGCAGATCCTGTATTGTTGGCAAATATGAAGGTAGCACAGAAGCTAATATATTTCGTAGTGACTATTAAAGCATCAACGCTTCAACGGAAAGTATGTTATTATTTTCATTTCATCAAAAGCGACAGACTGCCTTATATATGGCTGGTACCAACTGCATTTCAGGCCCAGTGAGAAAAATTTGCTAACGCATGAAACCAATTACTTTCTTCCAGCTGGGCTCTGCATGTTTGTATCTTATATCAGCTTAAAACTACATGGCTACAGGCAATTGTGGCATGCATACTCATACACAATATATGGAGACCTGTACGCAAAAAGTAATCGTACAAACAAATTCAGCGCCATCCAAGGTGAAGACAGCGCAATATCAGATATTGTTTGCCTTGAGAGCATTTTATCACATGTAAATACTAGAATTCTCTTTCAGACTTTTTGCTTTAGTCGCCAACATATTAAGCGTATTTGTTATTTACAACATTCGAGCTTGTTGCATGCACAATGACTTTTAGCTGTAGGTCATGTCCGCACACTGCTGTGTATAAGTAACAAGAATCTGTGTAATAACGCTGTTATTTTGTAATCATTCAATTCATACCAACTAGTTATGTGTTAATTTATTATGTCGGTACAGATATATGATGGCGATAGTGCAGTTAACTTTGTCGCGGAAATCGTTAAGTTGTGCAACTCAAATGTTACGTATACGACAAGGCTTCCACAATTTGCTAAAGCTTCATTATGCTAGGAATACGTTAAATTTTTTGTAATCTGGAACTTTTTTAAACATATTAAGATATATTAAAGCTCAGTAAATTTTATTAGTTATAGAAAAATTTATCTCTCTACTCTCTCTCTAAAATATCTCTCTATAATCTCTCACTAAAATACATATACACATTTCATAATACCTTGCTTAATATTAACTGGTTTAGACAGCTTGCTTTACCAACATTTCATTTATAAATTAATTCTTCTATTTTTAATATTAAAATTCTTCAATATTATTTTTATTATAATCGAATAAATTAAATTAAATCTTCCAAAGAGTTAACAACACTGTACAAAGCTCGACTAGGTATTGAACCAAACAACGGTGTATAACATTTCTCTGGCAAGCTTATATGACTGATTATGTAAAAGCTCAAAGTCGGAGCTTCGAAAAACTAGAAGTTTTATATTCCAGAAAATACTTGCCCGAGTGTGAAACCTTATAACATCTGTCATAAAAATTGACCGAAAAATGTTATACCCCATTGAAATGAGAGAAAAACGTAGATGGTGCCCATATATTTACTTATTTTAAAAACTTATGTACTGTAATTTATACTGAAGTTTGCAATAAGCTTAATTTAGAAATGCAATAACGTCGAAAGACAAATGTTTCAATTTTGGAGGTTATCTTCGAAAAACGTAGAAATCACTTTTCTCATTAGGATTAAATCTCTGAATTGATGCAATACCCAGAAAAAAGTTCAATTTTATGAAATTATTCTCGAAATTATAAACAATAAAAACAAGTTTGTAGGAAAAAGTCTCATAATTATAGACCTTTACAAAAAATATTGAAAGTATATCCATATTTATATCTGGACTATACATTACTGTGATATGTGCGAATATAGTTAAGCAGTATAAGCCACCCATTGGCATCACATTGGCAAAACCTTAACGTTGAACTCGATCTTTATTTTAAGATAAACTATACAAACCCCACCGATGTTATCCACCTGGCATAAATATGACCAGTAATGGCATTTTAATTACAGTTATTTAAATAACAAGGCAGTATACAATTGTAGATAGCGCACACTAAATTCTGCTATGCGATTTGAAATGATCAATGCCGATCAAAGTCGCTGCACTAAAAGCTTTAGCAGAAATGTGTGTTCCAATCCAGCTATAAGCCGAATGCCAATAAAAATGGAATTCCGGCGTAGGTGTTATACTATTTGGTCGCTAAATTAAATGATTTCAGAATTTATTGTGCAATTATTCGAGCTTGTGTTAAATCAACAGAGGTAACTATTTGTAGACGAAAAAACATATATTTGTTAGTGTATATAAGCACACGGGAAGTTAGCATTTTAACCTACGCGTGCAAATAAACAATAATATTTATGCAAACACAATATATTCAATCCAATAGTAGCGGCATTATACTACGTGAATATACCCAGTAACTAATTAATAGAAAAATTCATATCTGATGAAAGACAACTTGTATGTATGTTGATATTCGCATACAAAAATTTCCGCTTTCCAAAATATATGAATAAGTTTTTTCATAAAAACATTTCTTTAAACGTTATACGCAGTTAAAGTTATGCATTAAATGTATCGTACTAGTAGTACACCATGTCGTATGAGCAACACGGAATATATAATATAATATAAATCATTCGCATGCTGCTCAGTACATTTGATATATATTGTACATATGTTTTACAGCGTGTAACTTTTAAAGGAAAGTTTTTATGAAAAAAATGTTTAAACTTTTTATTGCAGAGCGTATATCACGTTTCATAGCATGTTATTTATATGGGAAAGGAAATATGAGTTAGGCACGGTTTAAATTAAAAGTAAAGTAAAGTTCTGCCAGTTGTCAGAAAAATAAATTTTACTCCGACATCGAATAAAGAATGGTTAAAAAATGGGAAGGATTTGGGGGCATATTGAAGAATAACAAGAACAAAACATATTAGCGAGGAGGAATCCTTTACAAAACGAGAAAATTTGAAATTGATTAAAAGAAAATGCTGCACAATATTAAAATTCTGTATAAAAACTATGGTACCAACAAAACTAATTTTAAAAAGATTTGGGCAGCAAAGATTTTAGAACATAGGTTACAAGAAAAATTGGCATTTTCCTTTCTTTAATTTTGGGCTATTTTCTTACCTCGCTAATATAAATGTATGAATATCTTTATACTTGTTTACCATATCGAAAGATATGGCATTATGATGTTTAATAATGAAAAGAGAAAACAAAATTTTTCTGCAAGAAAACAATTTTGGAAGTGACCCGGCAGTCCTAAAACCATTTAACTACTATCTTCTAAATATCTCTGCTCTAATTAAGGTATTAAAGATAAAAAACATTGGGGAGCATATGAAAATTACAATTGAAAAGTGATGTAGTGGGGCATATGAAATACCATGTTTTACAAAAAATTTATAATGTTTATGCTTAATTTTTTTTAATAAGCAATATCACGAAAAGTGAATCATAAAAATTAAGTCCATGTATATTTTTCATGAGTAGTTGCAACGAAAACTGTATCCGGAAATGATTTTTAAAAATTTTAATTTTAAATATATAGATCCTGAAAACTTTAGATAATTTTAATTAAAAAATAGTTTACAAATTAACCGTTAAAGATAAATTAGTCACATTTTCAAAATTTATCGTCCAGTATTTATTTTTTAATAAAATATCAATAGGTAAATTTTTTTTATCATACTGTTAATTAGCTCGTAACTAACAAAAGAGTATTGCCAGTAATTTCAATTTCTTCGTTACCTAAGTTTATATGTTAGTCTGTTAATACTATTTTTATTTATTATAATAATAATTTTTGTGTGTTTAAAATGAGGCGAATAAATAAGTGTTGCGATCCTTTTTTTAAATTTTTTATATAAATCATTACTGCTAAAGTAAAAGTCTTTCTAGTTTCTAGATTTATGTATCTTTTTCTAAAACCGTAAGGTAATTTTTGATTCCAGGCATCAAACGGGTAACATCATTAGACAAATAAAACTTTTTACGAAATCGAGTGTTGAATTGCCCCTGTGACGCAAATCTTGATCATCTTCTAATATCTTTGGCGGCTTGTATGTCATAATTATTGGTTTGGTTAAAAGCACATTTAAAATTATTGAAAAGAACGTGATGTGGATTGTTATGATTAATATCAGTATCGATCAATGTCTCTGACATTAGAATAGCTTTTTTACACACTGACAACCTCGACACTCGTCTCACTCGTTTGGGTGGTTTACTTCGCTCCAATAGTAATTTATTTGCGTAATCTATTTTTAATTGATTATCTACAGTGTCAAATTTGAATGTCGAGTCTTTCTTTTTATCATCTTAGATCTCATCAACTTTTGAATCCAACGCGTCGATACTTTCTTTGCAATTTATATTTTTTTCGCAAGGTTTCTCAGGTTTAAAATTTTTAAGAACGTATTTGTGACTCTTAAAATTTAACGGATTTTTATAATCAAGTGAATGAATGCATA